TGCAAGTTTCTTGCAGCTGCCTGAGAGAGAAAGGGGCTGTTTTCTCCATCAGTGGTCACATCTGGTCATTGGGATTTTTTGGTGTGGGTTTGTTTGTTTGTTTGTTTTTCCCTTTATGAAGCCATCTCTGGATCCAGTCTGTCTTACAGCTAGATCCTGGCAAGAGAGTTGGCAGAAGTGTGCAGAAGAATCCCAGCAGCTATATTTTCTGTGTTCAGTTCCTGGAGGACAGAAGGGGATGTCATTATTGCTGCTGTTCCTGGCAGTCTGCTCTGACTGGGAAACTGGAGCGGACACTTGCATTGTTCTCACTGAAGGTAGTCAGGAGATGATGGATAGAATTTTTCCAATAGGTAATTAGATGGGCATGGTAACTAGACAGTCATAAAGATGCCTGATCTTCTACTCACAAAAATCCCTTGTATGGTGTGCTGGCTGTGAAATGTTCTCCAAATTTTATTGACTTCCAACCAGCCCTTCTTGATGCAAAATCTCAGCGATCTTGCTGGGTCCTGCCTGAAAATGGATTTAGAGGGTCTTGGGGGAAAGATTTCACTTTCCCACCCTTGTTTGTTTTTTTTTTTTCCCTTTTTATTTCTTTTTCCTGGAGTCTGCAGTTGCTGTTGAAATAGTAGTATTTGGGAACGGGCTGTTGAGGAAGTGGGAGAACAGTTGATTAATGCACCTATGTGCAATAAAGCAGGGTACTTGGCGTTCAGGATTTGTGCAATAAAGCAGTGTATTTGGCATTCAGAATTTTGAACACTTAATTTTTTTGGCATTTATGATGAATGCAAGTGACACATCGGTGTGGACTAGTAATTGCTGGAACTTGTGTAGGTCTTGATAGACTCTTGAAGGACATCACACGATGTCTAATCCCATTTATTAAACAACAGAAGTAGCGAGAGAGACAGGATGTAAACACTCATCCCTAAACACCAGCGTTTATACCCCCACTTGCTGTTTGAGGCTGGTTGCATGACTGGGAGTGCCCTCAGGTCATCATTGAGCAGCTTGTTCGACTGTGACTCCTGAATGATGAATGTCTCCACTTAAATTACAGATCACTGCCCCGGAACAAAAATCAGCAGCATTATTGGCCTCTGCAGGGGCACCAAAGGGTGACTGGGCAGTGGTGCAGGGCTTCACCTGCTACAGCACTGCTCTCTCCCTGTCAGTAAATGGGCATTTGTCAGCAGTCTGTTCTGTAGGATGTGTGGTGGGGAAGTTTGGCTCAGCACTTGCCGTTCTGTCTTCTTCCTATGGACAGTTTTCCTGTCTGTGGTACTGCCCAGCAGATTAGTTAGGGTCAAGAGCTTAATACTTGGATTTTTGACCTGTGAATGAACCTTACAGAAAATAAAGGCAAGGAAGTCACTTCTGCAGTGCTCTATCCAGTCCTCAAAGATGGATTTGAACATCAAAGGATGTTCAGCAAAACAGAGACATAGTTGTGTTGTTGATATCAGAGAAGTATATAAATTCCCCTCATCTTGTGGGGGGAAAAACATCCCCCATGGGTCTAGTTCATGTTTGCTGTTTGTATTGTATTTCTCCTTTTGCCATGAAAAGCCCTAATAAAAATAATTTAACAGGAACAAGTTGGGGTCCAATATGGCTGAGAAGGGAAGGGACCATTATCTGTCACTACTTGCATTAAAACGGTTTGTTGACTGGAATTAGTTTGGGAATGTCTGTCACCCTGTTTAGATAAACGAAGACCAGGTTATCACAGCACACTGCCTGTTCCTGATTTAGCTACTGGGGGCTAAGTGAGGTCCTCTTTGCCCCTCAAAGATGAGCCAGTGCAGCACAGGCAGCGATGGTGGGCTGTTCTGAAATGTGCTGCAGCCACTGCAGAGTTGAGGCAAAGCTTTGGCCGTGATTTTCTCCAGCATCCTGCAGACCCCCCTGCATCAGCCAGGCAAGAGCCAGTTGCAGTGGTAATTCCTCCCTGCTGCCCCTGACAGATTGATTTTGACCCTCAACTTCCCCTTCCACCTGCTAATTACTCGGTCACATTCTCTCCCAAAGCCCTTTCCACCTGGCAGTGGCCTGGTTTTGTCATTCTCCAGTTCCGCTCTCGCCCTCTCCACCTCTTGGCTATTTGTTCTTAAAACCCTCCCCTCTTCACTACCTTCCTCCTCTTCCTGGCCATCCAAAGGTCATCATTAATATCCAAAAATTGGATACCCAAAATTCTTTTGGATTTTGCTGACTCACAGCAGTCTGGTCTCTAATGCCTCCTGGTTGATAGGGGAGGGGGAGTGAAAATCAGGGTTTTCCCTTTTAATTTGTGCTTTGTCACTGCCGGTGTGACCTTTAATCAGGTGTCTGGCTGTTGTTTGCTTGCTGATGGTTTTTACAGAATGGTCCCTTGTAAATATATACAGAAAGGGCAGGAGAGTAACTGGAGATTGTAACCACTCTTTTATTTCCTGGGAGCCTATTAAAGATGGTTTCAAGTTTATCCATCCGTCTCTTTGTCAAGCTGCCTCCTGTGCCCATCCACTTGTGCATTTATTTAGGAGTATATTAGGTACTGTATCATCCTCCAGGATGGTAACAGTGTGTTCCAGGATAAAGCCATAGATACAAAGTGCACTGAACCCATTATAAAAAAATAAAAGGGCTTTCCTTGATGGCATTTAGCTCAATAAACACAGTTTGTCAGGGATGTCTTTATCTCCTTACATTTAAGCGATTAAATGTTGGTAAAAATAGCTTCAGAAATAAAACATGAAGAGAGCTTCTGGCAAAGCCCTGTCCAGTTTAATTCATACATTAAATATTTGCTAGTAGGGTCAAAAGCTGAATGCTTAGATATTTTGCCCTTTGAATGAACCTAGCTAAAATAAAGACAAGGCAATCGGTTCTGCAGAAGCTGTCTCCAGAATACCAGGATCAATTTAAACATCAAAGGATGGAGAGATCATACAGACAGTCAGCCATATTATTCTGCACAATTAATACTCACAGAGGTGTTTCCTGAATTCGGAATCTTGTGCAGGGAAGATAATGGGAAAATTTCAGATTTTTAATTATGTAAAAGACAGTCCTTGATCCTTCCCTCCCGAAAACCAGAGCAGTTTATTTTGCATTAATGAATGTAGAAAACATCCCCCAGCCTGAATCTCTGCCTCGGTGCAATCTTTTTTACAGTCAAATTAGCATTTATATTTCTGAAGGTAATTTTTAGACAACACAATAAATAAATGATACGCCGGGAACCTCCCGGTGGATAAAGTGGTGCTCACAGGACATTTCCAATGCAAATTGGCAGAAGATGACTTAATGGTTGGCTCTGCTGGTTTTGGGCAGCAGTGAGCAGGGAGGGGTGAGGGGAATTCTGGGTCCAGTGCAGGGTTTCACAGCCCTGCAGCTCCTCCTGCCCTGGCAGGAATGTCCTGTCAGGGATTAGCTCCGGAGCACACAAGCTGGCACAGAGGGCAGGACCTCTCCTGACCTTAGCTTTGTACAGGATCTGTGTCTCAGACCTCTGGGCTCAAGATGAACTGTCAGTAGGTGCTGTAGAGTTAAAGTTTGGAAAGGTTTCTTCCACGTGAGGCTTATTTATTTTGAGGTTGAACTCTTTGGTCCTGAGAGGAGGGGACAGAGCAACAGCCAGTTTCTCTGTGGAACTGGAGCTGAAACTTCCCTGAAGTCTGCTGCAAGTCTGTGCAGCTCCACAGAGGCTGCAAATCACACTTGGGATTTGTGTTTCAGTAGTGGCTTTAATCTGGTTTAATAATTTCTATATATGCCTTATTTTAACAACATATTGACCATGTTTTCTGGATTGAAGGGATTGATTATTATAGTTCAGAATTATCATTTTAGTATTGGGGTTTTTTGATGGTTACTAATCTGACCTGAACTTTCTTTAGTCACTGTCTTTAGACACTTTAAAAAAGTGTCTTCATTTTTGTTATGTGCTTTCAAGAGCTCCTGTGCTGTTAAAGACCATACCATGACTTATTAAGTTGCCTCACTGAAGTATTGATCTTTCAAAAATCTTAGCCATGATTATTTTCTCACTCTGTGTGAGAAAAATCTGTTTGTTTTTTGAGTGGAGGACAGAATTGCATCATATGGATTTTACCATATCGTTGAGTTTGGAAGGTAAATAATATTAAGAACAGATTGAAGTAAATAAAATAAGGCCAAAGATCCTGATCTTTGTCCACGGAAATAAAGGAAGATTTTATCATTTGCTTCCGTTGGGTCTATAGAGAAATCCAGTGAGGTGATGAAGTATTTGCTTAGTTTGGCTCATGTGGCAGGCAATGGGGTGAGTTCAGCAGCAGAGCTGTACATAATTAACATCACAGAGCTGTGGGTTCTGCATGTGAAAATCCAGGCTATTGTCAGTTGTGGTTTCCTTGCCAACCATATCTCAGCTCTCCCACTTCTGTAGTTGTCTCTATGATGCTTTGTGCAGTATTATTACCCCCTCACCTAATACTGGAGCTGGATGGAGCTGCAAAATCTGGCTATTATTCTTTCCATTTGAAACACATTAATACGAAAATAAAAATAAAATCTAAGATGTTTCACTTCCCAAGTAATTCTATTCCGGAAACATTAAAATAAGCAGACTTGACATTGGGAATGTTTCAAAAATACGTATTTTTTTTGGCAAGTGCTCATAGCTAATGAATTTGCATTCATAAATGTAAGCATTTATAGCAGGATCGTGATTAAAGCATTAAAATCGACTCGTCTGCCAGACTGTAGGTCATAGAGCTTGAATTTCATGTTTTGAAAATTTCATACTTGGAGCGAACGGCTTGCCAGAAAATTACAGGCCAAGACTTTCTCCCAAGAATTACTTTCTGGTGAAGCTCAAATAATGAATATATGTTTATGTCTGTGGAACGGGAGGAAGATAATTTCACTACTGGTGTCTTTCACTGAATATTATTTTGGCAAATGGCCATAGAGGAAGCTTTCTTGAATTTCATCTTGTTTCTCTTTGACTTCTTCCCCAGAAGGTACTGATCTGGCTGGATCTGCAGCTGTGGGCAGGGTTCATTGGTTCTCAACAAATCTGTGCGTGTTCTTGGCAGCGTTTGCTGAATTGGAATCATCTGTTCAAAATACCAGGAAGAACTGCAAGGAGCACCAGAGCAAATGTACTTCTAATCTGTGCTTAAGGTATAAGCAAGACCTTAGTCCTGCTCTTTCCTTGCTGAGACAATTGTTTGCATTGCTTGTTTCCATGTTCTTTTCATTTAATATATAGATTGGGAGGTGAATCTTGTGTCTTCTCTATCAAGGTTGCTTTGTACATGAACACCTCTCTAATCCAGCTTATGCCATTCAAAGAATCACAGAATATGCCAAATTGGAAGGGGCCCACAAGGATCATAGAGTCCAGCTCCTAGCTGGAATCATTTAGGTTGGGAAAGATCTCCAAGATCATCGAGTCCAACCTTTGACCCATCGCCACCTTGTCCACAAAGTGGCGTTTCCAGTCATTCCTTGAACACCTTCAGGGATGGTAATTCCACCACCTTCCTGGGCAGCCCCTTCCAATGCATTAAGACTTTCCATGAAGAAATCAGATCCTCAATGTTCTAATTCCTTCCCAGCCCAGACTGGGTAAGACAGGGGGATTTGGCAAAGCTTTTGAAGCTGTAGTTCCTGGATTGCAGTGAAGCATTTAGTCCTGAGGAAGAGCAAAGGAGGGGATAGTGAGTTGTCCTGTGAGGACAGGGCCAAGGAGGGAGAGCTTGGAAGACCTTAGGTTGGTCCTGCTGCCAAAAGCAATGTATTGTCAAACTATGGCCTAATTTTCTTACTGAGAGTGTGTTTAAAGAGGGATTGGCATCAGGAACAGACCATTAAGCAATTGAAACTCTAATAGAAAAACATAACCTTATCACAGACTTTTTTAAAAAAACCCTCGGAAAATAGCTCAAATATAAGGTTAATTGGAGCCAGAAATGTCAAACTAATGTAGCAATTTACCCTGGGAGACTGCCCTGGCCTTTGAGTATAGCAGTAGTACAGACTACTGAGTAGAATAGTGAAGAAATATAATAGGATTTTATGTAGTCCCCTGTCATATTAAACGTTCTTTGCAATTAATTTCTTGTTGCAATGTTATTTTCACTGACCTATTTTTTTTTGACCTCCTACAATCTTTAAGCTACCAAAGTAGGGCATATGGGAATTCACATTTCCTAAAAAAAAAAAATAAAAAAAAAAATTAAAAAAATCTTAACTTAAACCACTATCAGGATACACACTGCATTGTGGACTAATATTAACTCAGAGCAGGATAAAAATGCCATTGGCTTATTCTAGAATAGCCTTTAGTCTGGGAGCTGTGCTGATCCATTCAGGAAAACGCTGCTTTTGAACAGCTCGTTCAGAAATAAGTGGGAGTTTTCTTGGACTGTGAGTTGGAGGATGTCTGCCCAGTGAATGAAACATGATAGGTGGTCCCTCTTTTCCTCCTTCTGCTTCCTGGCTCTGTTCCTTCTACTGTTAACTGGATGTCAGACTGAGATAGCCGGGTATTGTGGTCTGGTCTGATTAATCCAAAGCTGCTAGACTCAAAATGATAATTCCCAAAGTTGTGGAATAACCAGGAAAACCGGGTAGATTCCCACTGTTCTGACTCTGAGTGAATCCCTTTCCACCCAGTTTGGATACATAATCCATTTTCATTTTTGTAATCAAACATCACTGAAGCGATTTGCCCTCTCTATTTTTATACAGCTTCCACAGTTTACTACAGAAATGGCTGTATTTCTCTGGAGGTCTGATGTTTCCTGACAGCATCCCTTTGTCTGAAGGAGTGAGTGGGTAAGATAGTTAAATCCCAAAATAGATCACTCCAGGGGAGCACGAAACCTCCATCACAGAGACAGACAGATGTCTGCTAGAAACAATCAGGTGATTTGGGAGGGAAGGTGACATGGTCTCTTGCAGTCCCTTTCACTCCTATTTTTTATTGTCCTAAAAGATGGAAAGTTTTACCCCAGGAGAGTGTACCTGGTGTCCAGGTTTGCAGTCAAGGTGACCAGATCAAAGGAGAGAGAACAATACAGGCAGGAAAACTTTCTGATCTTGAATAAGAACTCTTAACATAAGCCCAAGTGTTTTCCAAGCAAGTGTCCTTAATATTTTTCCCTGTGGTAGTAAGGATTTTTTATTTTTAAAGTGGAGCTGGAGCCAAATATCATTGAATCAAAGAAGCCAACATTAATCAAAGCACATCAAAGATGTTCCTCATCAGTTGCCTGGAGCAACAGAATCTACACTGCATCATCTTTCTTATGCTAAGCTGGAGGAATTCAGAGAAGAGAATTCTGTCTGTTTGCTCTCAAATGAACACAGAAATAGTATTTTCAAAGTTTCTTTAATAGTTCAGTGATTTGGTCCCTTCAGCCATCATAATTTCCGAGTCCACACTTAGACTTCCCAGGAATGTTTTTAGTAAGAAAATCAATCAAACGAGCCTTTAAAACTAAATAGGTGGTGAGTTGCCTCTCCAGACAAAGTCACAGGAAGCGCCTCCCTCTCTTACGTTGTCTCTTCTGTTCCTCCTCTCTCTCCAGGTCATGATAATGGTACCCCATGGGCCTTTGTTGCCTCACTATGGATGCATTTTACTCTTATTTCACAGTACCTACAAGGAACAAGCAACTCCGCTGGATAAACACACATGGTTTCCTGTTCAAGTAACAAATTTTGTCCTTAGTTTAATATTTTCTGGTGTTCCCTGATACAGAAATTAGAGCTGCTTATATTTGCTGTCTGCTTCCAGAAGATCCAGTTGCTGCCTAAAAAACTCGTGGACACTGAGTACAACCAAGGCACAAACAGGCCTGAATTTCAGCTCTTTGCTGGATTGATTCTTAAGCCTGAGCACTTGATAAAACACTCAGTAGCAAAACCTCTTTGTCCAGCCTGAGGACAGCACTGGCAGACACCCAGCCCTTTCATGTGGGCAGAAATGAAATGCAGCAACATGTGCGCGTGTGACCAACCTGCAGAATCACCGAGGTTGGAGCTGTGTTTTTATGGTTTTCTTTTTCTTTACTAACGAGTCCCAGGGCATTTTGCAGAATGCACGTTGTAGCCATGGGCTGAGCCCTGTGCCCAGCTCGGGGCCGGGACGTGTTGGCATTTCAGCGCCAGCGACACTTTGCTCTGGTTGTTACAAGAGGAAGCAAAGAACAGAAGTTCCCCGTCTGAAACCGCGGGGGGAAATTTAGTGTGGTAGAATGTAATTATCCAAACTGGAACATGGCCAGGATCCTGGAGTTAATAACACCCTCTGCTCTTGCAAAAAGTGTCATAGGATCTTTAATGACTGTTAGTGGTCAGCGGGCTTCACATCACATCTCCAGGACTGATACTGAGCAGATCAGGAGTGCGGGTATTCCCATCTGTCGTGTATCACAAATATCTGCATGGCCTGTGGCTGCAGCCTTCAGGTTGAGGAGAGAATTGAGCTGAACAGCCAGGGAGGAGACATTAGTCTTAATGAAAATGATCCCATTAAAGGCAGATGACGTGCAGTTGATGAAGAACAGCTGAGATGTTCGCTGAAGTGCCCATAAGATAGTATTTGGGGTCCACCAAATCACCAAATCTTCAGTGACCATCAACATGGTGTAGTTCGGAGGAATGGAACAAAAAAAGGTTTACAGCATCCTCTGTGTAATAGGATCAATAGGATGTGGAAATCTGTAGTATGAATTTACCCTGATTTCTGTAGTACTGGGAACTATGTGCAAATGAGTTGGGAAGTGGGTGTAAGTGGTAAGATTGCGTTGTGCTAATTAGCCTGGCATTGATGAACTGTACAAAGCCTGGGAACTTCCACAGCAGGAAAGAGAGCACATCACAGAGAATCCCTTTCGTCACAAGTGACTTGTGCCACGGGACTTCAATTAAAAACCAGACCAGGCCACTTTTAATCGCTTTAATGAGAAATTACTTTTTAAAAAAAGATAATCTTTGTTAATCTGTCTGTCCTCTTCTAGCAGTGCAGCCCATCATGATGGGAGATGAGGTGCTAATTATCTGTCTTGGCTGCTTTTTCTGATCACAAGGTTTGTTATTCTATCCTGCACCTGGCACCACGGGCTCTGGTGTTTGGGATCAGTGGGCATTACTACAGTGCCAGCTGTAATAAAGAGTAGAAGGCCAACGATCCTGTATGTTGTTAAAATGAAGAAAGACTTGCACAGTTCTCCCCCTTTGTACATCCCAGTACATTGGTACTTACACCATAACAGTATTATCTCAGGGAATATAAGTCTGCTACAGGATATTGCCACTTTAACCACCTGAACTGCCTTTTAGTTCCAGTTTCAACTCAGTGTCAAAAATATTACCCTGTTTAAGATTAATTTGTGACAAAATGTCATATTAATACAGCTATATTTCCCAGGGGATAAATATGGCCTTTTGAAGAGCAGCCATGGCTGAGTGCTATATAGGACTATAGAGAATTATCAACAGGCTTTTGCCTTAGCAAATGTCATGCTACCAGAAGAATGGAGCAGTTTGCAGGTAAGTACAGTGTACGAACTGTTTTATTGTAAGAGGGAGGTTATGATATTTTCTTCCTATTAATCCATATCTCATCCCTAATTATATTAGCACCTCTCGGTGAGACCTGATTAAGAACCTGAGGAGGAAACTGTCAGTCGCCTATAAATCCATCAGCATTGTATCATGTTTATTTTTGGCATCTTAGCTATTTTGGGAGGTTGATGTTTACCTCGAGGGTTGTGTGTCATTGGTAGAATTACTTCTGATTTACACCAACAATGTAAATCAACTGTGTGCAATCACAGTTGAGCTCCCGGTGATGCTGAAGAGTTTATTTGTAAGGGGCTAAATCCAGCACCAGTTGTAAGCAACTGTAATTCCAGTGAAACCAATAACAGCTGCACCTGCATGTGCTAAGCCTGACTTTGAAACAGTTTATCAGGTATCTTCTTTGTAGTGAAGTAGAATAAACTTTGTATTTCATTGCACCTTGGGTACCCGTAGTACGCCTTGGATATGTCTGAACTATTGAAACCAAACTTCTTAACAGCTCTCAGATGTAAAGAAAAAGGAGATGAAAAAAAGTCCTAAAACTAATCTCTTGCCTCACAGCATTCCACCAAGATGACTCAGAAAATGACAAGGGAACCAGACTGCAAATTAGGCTCTAGTGCTTGTTGAAGACATTTGCCACCGGTTAAAATGAGTTATTGAAACAGTAAAGCCGAGGACTTCAGAGAAACTTTGATTGACAACAATAATTACAGCTATTCCTGCTCCTATAAGAAATACGGTGCAGGCTGGGCATAATAAATGTATGAAAATGATATTCAAAATCTGAGCAGAAGTAGATGCAGGTCCAAACAGTTTAAGTGTCTTCTATACAAATTTCTGTGCATTTTTATGTGTTTCAAGTAACAGTAGTTACAAGGCAGGTGTGTAGATTTGCTTTACATGGCTAGCCAGCTAAAGAAGCCTCTGTGAATAAAGGCTGCCTCGCACCCCGGTTGGGCTGTGTGGCAGAAGGCTCAGGCTGGGGGTTCTGCAGAGAAAATGCAGTTCATGGGGCACTGCCACCTGACCTTCGTGTGCTGTCTCTGGAGGAGATGCCTGATGATTGTTTGAGACACAACCAGATGTTGCCAGATTGGTCAAATGATTTCTTTTGTACCTGAGGACAACCCTGTGCTCAGCCTGAGCTTCCACAGTGTTCCTCATAGGCAGGGAGGAGACAGAGTTGATCTCTGTGGTCTTCTGTATCCGCACTCAGCTTGGTGCCTTAGGTGGGGAACTGCTGCAAAGACCTGAAACCAAGAGCACTTCTTTTTGGCTGACCAGGCTTACTCACATCTGACAGGTACATGCTACCAAGATCGGGCTTTTTTGCTGCCAAGAACAGGGGTGGGCACAAAAGGGTCAGGAGTACTTGAGTCTTAGATGTTCTTGTGTGCCTGTAGCAGTGCCATGATGGACTAACATGTAAGAATATAAAACAATGTTTTGTAGCCAGTAACCTTTGGTTTTGTCTCCCCAGCTTGATACCTGCCTTGCATTTCCTTCTCCTGCTGCTGCAATTACGGCTTTTACCAAAAGCCCCTGTACCTCTCCCACCCCTCTCACACAGGGAAGGCAGGCTTGTAGCTGTGCTCTGCTAGCAGGTGGTTCCAGTTGCTTCACTAGATGTTTCTGCTGAGAGAAAATGACTTTTTCCCCTCTTCCCTGTCCTGGTCTGAGAGCTGGGTTCATTTTATGACACCAGGCAAAGGGTGGAAGGAGACAGCACTGTAGCTGACCCTTCTGACAAGGCCACAGCAGTGCCAAGAAAGTGACTGGAGACCAAGGCTTGGCTTTATTAAGCCCGTTAGATCTCGTTGCTGGAAGTTGTTCAGCAGGGTTCACATTCACAGGGAGAGGGAAAACAAAGAATTGGTCAATCCACAAGTGCCAAGAAAGAGTTAAATTAATGGAGGAAAAGGAGAAAAAAACCCACTCTTAATGCTGGAGAAGGACTCTGCTGGCTTACTTATCAGGTTCATGCTGAGCCCAGTCGTAATTGGAATGTACCCTTTGTAAAGTTTATTGGGTCCTGGGGCAGCTTGTTACTGAACCGGTCAATTAATCTATTTTTTTTTTTAATGAGTTAGGGGATTTCCTTTTGTGGAAAATCACCAGGAAACCTGACCAAATGCCCACACCTTGGGGAAAGCGTGGCCTTAACATATAGAAAACCCTTCCTCCACAATTAGGAGAGGAAATAGACACCTCCCCTTATGGGCAGCATATTTGACCAATCCAGGGACAAAATAAATGGCATTTCACCACTGACTTGCAGGTTGTCGAAGGAGGATCACCATGAAACAAGATTACTTGAATGCAGCTTGGTGTTGAAGGAAATAAAACTGTTGAGTCTCCCTGCTGAGAGACAAATGATTTCCATTTAAAAACCTGTTTGTTCCATGCTGTAACTCCCAATGTAGCAATAATTAATGATATCAGAAGGTTACGAAAGACATTCTGTTGTGCTTGCTCTGTTCTAGGCATGAAATTGGATTAACATAAAGATAAACTTAGACTTTAAATCTGTTGAGGAAATCAGTAATTATGTCAAAATTCACAAATAGTAATCTGTTTAACTGTGGCAGGATACTGTTCATCTATCAGCAAAACATCCTGCCTTGTCAGAATTCCATTGAAAGGTTAGTTTCTTAAAATACTTGGATTTTCCAGTGATAGAATTTTGTGAATATGCAGCTTATTGAGTAAACACAAACAATCTTACCTCTGGAAACATAGTTATTTCTGTTTCAGTGGCATCCAGCCAGTACCCTCTCATGAGGAAGAATCAATTTGCAAGGTATTGAGTAAGTCCTTGGGCTATGCTGTGGAGAGGTGACCACCCATGAAAGCCACTGACATGAAAAAAATGCAAGGTATGGCAGTGCATACTCATTAAAAGAGCACCTTTGCTGCAAATGAGCACGTGGAAACACTATTGGCTTTAGGGACAACCAACAGGACAGTTACAAGGGCTCTGAATTTAATTCAGGTAGAAATTCACTGGGAAGGGGAAGGGAGTCCATCTCTTGTCTTCTCAGATATTTCTTGACTCCAGTGCTGGCCCTGGTTCTGCTGTAGCTAGTTTTAATCTGACTGCTGTAAAACCCATAGAGTTATGTGTGAATATGTGTGCAGTGATTCAGCCTGCAGTGAAACCTGCTCAGGTGTAGCTTTGTTGCTACTCATCCTCCTGGGGTGGAAGTTGGGCTTGGTACAACTACTAAAATTGCAGTCTACCTTCCCATTGCAATTTAGAGTTACCCTGAGGGAACACAGTTAGCTTTGAGTGCCCATTTAATTAAGTAGCCTGGTAGTGCAATTGTATTAGAAATAGGAAAAATAACCTTCAGTGCTAGATTCCCTTCTCAGTGGAAATGGAGGTGGTGAGCACATGTATAAATTTATTAGGAATGGTCCTCAATAACACTGACCATGAAATGTGCATCTAAAACCACTTGAAGCTTAGAAATCTGTCTAGTGCAAGACAATTACAGTAGTTTCATTCTTTCTCCATTCATTTAAAAATGCAGGAAAAAAAAAGGTTTCAGATCAGAAAGGTGTTCAGGAGGATGAGAAAGCCGTTTTTATAGTCAGGTGTTGATGGGGCATCACAGAGATGGTATCATCTAAAAGGCTGGCAAGTCTCTTAGTAAAATGTTACTTTCCTTTTGTGCACAAAAAAGGTCTGTTTGTAGCATCAAGTGAGTATCAGGTGAGAAAGGTGAGTTTTGCAGCTGCTGATTGTTAGGAAAACCTAAGCTGAAGGCTAACAGGTAACTCCAGTATTTTGCTGAGCAGGTCTTAGAGCAGAAAAATGGATTTTTTTGCCCTTAGATAGAAAAAATATAATAAGGAAATATTTTTACAAGTAATAAGCATTTTAATGTGTTTGCATAAAGTAAAACAAACAAACAAAAAAGCTTTTTATATATAAACCAACCATGTCTAGCCTCTTCACCTGTTCTTCACTGAAGAAGTGAAGTCTGTGGTGAAAAGGAGTATACAACCTCCATAGGTATTTCCTGTAGCCATGCAGTGGTTTCTCAATTCCTCAGAATCTCTTATTCTGCTTAACTGCACATAAAGTTGACTCCTTTTTCAAGTGGGGAATTACCTGGTTGCTCTACTCTAAAAATCCCTTTCACTTTTTTGAATATGTTTATCAAATCTCCCTCTTCTGTTTTCTGGATGAGCTGTCATCTTGGTAGACGTGAAGAAAGAGGGGTTGAAAGCACAGAGTGGCTGTGGATGTGTTTTCCACTCGGATGCAGGGACAGGCAGAGACAGGTCTGCATGTGGCTGATCCGTGGACAGAACGTGGCTTTTCCACGTCCTGGCTCAGGGAGTCCAACCAACACCCCCCTGTGCTGTGCCATGGGGGTAAGGTGGGTGTTTCTGCACAGAAACTGGAAGGAAAAGGACAGGCTTAACCTGTGCTGATAATTGCAAGACGCTTCTTGCTGTTCTTGACTTTAGTGAGAGCTACAAAATGTTTGTGTGTGGGAATTTTTAAAGTTTCTAATGTTTTTAAAATATCCAGGCAAGTTTATATGAAATACTATGATGACCAAGTTGAACATAAAGGTACTGCTTCATTATTCTTCATTTTACTACATACTACTTCTCTTTACCAGTTTCTTTTCAATTTTTCCTATGCCCCTCTTTTCTTTTTCATAGGCTGCTTGCATGGGCTCAACCATAAAATCATCTCTCTCTAAAAGAAACATCCTTCTATTTATTGTGTCTGTTTTTTATGACGACTTTTACTTTGAATTTACTTTATTTAACAATGCTCTATTTCTTTCCTTTCAGTACATTGTAACTGCTCCTTCCTGTGTCATTTGGAACTGGCCAAAGTTGGCAGATCTCAAATTTCTTTTGCCTCTTTGAAACGTGCAGATTCTTTCTCCTTCAGTGATAATGGGCATTGTGTTTCCTTAGAAATATTTTTGGGGCCTATTATTCCTCAGCCACTTCAGTTGGCAAACTGAAGGCTTGGAAACAAATTAGCTTGGATGGCAGCCCAAGCTGTCAAAATGAGCCTTCCATTCATTACTGAATCATCCACCTCCTGCATTTAGATCTTCAGCCCCACTTTTCCAGTAAGCTTCTCAGTTGAGTTCTTGGAATTCTTTCTTCTGTCACTTTTGAACTAACTACTCCAGTCTACTTCATTTACGACCACACAGCAAAGCTACTTCCCCATTATCTGAGAGGAGTGAACTAATACACCAGTAGAGAGGGCACAGCTGGTCATTGGTTTTGGTAGAAGACATTACAATTATATTTTTCTCACATATTATTTCTCTATGAGTTACCTGAGGCCGAGGCCTTGATCATTTTGTCAGGCAAGAAATTCCAGGTGGGAAAACTGATTACTACACAAGTGTCATTAAAATCATATTATTAGTCCTGCTCTGAAATGATTTGGGGATGAGGTAGGAAGGTCTTATATGTTTATGTCCCTTAAATATTCTTCCCCACTTCTTTCTGGGGTTTGGGTTGGGGTTTTTTGTGTGACTTTTTTCTGCCTTTTTTTTTTTATTCTCCCCTGTCTTTGCCAACAAACATTTTCTCAGAGGAATAAATCTCTCAGAAATATCGTGTAGCACCTTTTCCCCTCTTCTCCCTTGGTGTCAATATGTACTTTGTAAAGGGAATTTTCAGAACAAAATGTTTTAGTCTCAGATATGAATTCCCCCCCCACCATTTTAGTCAACTTTTTTGTGTTTCTATTTCAGGCAGTACTTTTTAAAATAGAAAAATTATTCTGATTGGTAGTGAAAGGTAATTAAAGCAAGTTAACAAGTTTGAAGGTTCCAGTACAACCTGAAAATAAGCTGGACTGTGTTGGGGAATTTGTGGAGGAGAGTAGTATACAGGGAGAGGCATATCCTTGACACTCTTTCTATGGGGTAGACAAGGGAACTGGTGTAGAACTTGCTCCATGTTATCCCATCAGGAAAGACAAGAAGCCTTCAGATTTCTACTGAAAATTTCTCACAAAAGCCTATGAAGTTACCCTTGATTATATGGTGCAATTCTATCTGAATGAAATCCAACAGAAGGAAGTGAAAAGAAGCAAGTTTCTTGGCTGAAACCCACATTTTCCACATGTAGTGTTAATATTAAAGAATATGGAGAAATTACCCCTGGTAGTGCAGCTGTTGGGATGGGACGTACAGGAAGGAACAAGTGTCAAACCTTGTAAAGTTTTAAAAGATAAAGTTAGGAAAAATGCATATATTTATGGCAGAAAATGACCTTTAGTCCTTCATTACTGGGTGTGAGGCTGGTACAGAAAAGGTCTTAGATTTTTTTTCATGGGAAGGGTCTCAGCTTTATTTCTTATTTATCTCTAGAATCATATAGACCAGCATGAATTGGGACTTGGACAACAAGAACCTTGGACCACAAGGACTTCAGATACCCACAGAAACAAGGACTCAGATACCTGGAGAGAGCTGGGGAGGATTTCTAGGCTGTGTAAGTCTCAAGAAGGTACCTGTTCTCTTGGCCACTACTACCTTGTTTTGCTCTCAGGCAACATTTTGCTGCTTGGAGCTGCACTCTATATCAGGTATTGCTGATCTTCCTAAGCCCAGGTTGGACCAGTAACCCCAGCAATTCTACTTTTGCTGTGCTTGTCAGCAGGGAAGTGAAGAATAAGCTGAAAAAAGTGCTTTTTAGATTCAAGTTCAGTTGTAAATAACTGCTGCTGTACACAAAAAATCAGCATAATGATGGCATGGGATGAACTGAATATTGCACAAAGTGTAATAAACCTTGATTTTTTTCAAATAGCAGGACTCTTGAGAGATAGTAAAAGCAGATCATGAAGAAACAGGACACCCACATGCCTCTCTGTCACTGTCAATAGCAGTAGAGTTATCCATGGATGTGGCCTGAAACAGGTTCAGTGTCAAGGCAGCAAGAGCTTGAGGTTTCTGTGATTCTGCCATCAGGTGACAACAAATGCATTAAACATCAAATTGATAGGGAGAAGACAAGCACAGTGGGGCAAAGAGAGGTTTTCTGTGATGTACTGTGTAAAACAGGTAATTTTCTAAGCCATTTTTACTGTTCCCACATAAAGATGGATACTTGCACAACAATGAGTTAGCAAAGAAAATTTGATTGCTGTTGCACTTCTTGTGATGAAAGTTCATCTCTTTTTTCCTTAACCAACTTCTCTGGAATTCTGACACAATTATAATTCTGTTACAAAAATAAAAAAGTTGTTACTGGAAAATTTTATAGGATTGTTCTTCTAAGTGAGGTAAGTCTATTTTCCTTTTTTGTCATGCAAGAATGTTGCCTCCCCAAATTAAATAGGCATTTAGCATAAATACACTGTGGTGATTATTGCAATTCAGGGACTAACGATTTCCTTTTTCTCCAGCTTTCCTGCTATGCAGTTGGTTGTGTTTCCACACTTATGGTGGTGAATTAACTCCCTGTGGATAATAGAGCTTCACTTGCAGCAGATGTCAAGACTCTTAATCAGAATTTAAGTAGCTTCAATTACATTTACTTAATTCACTTTGGAAGTGAAGTAAGTTAAATTGAATTAGGCCTGCTTTAATTCTGAATGAGTCCACATAGATATTCAATGCATTTTAGCTAATCTGTTCTAAAAAATAATTCAGAATCTGTTTGCAAGTGCTCTCCAAAGTACAGATACAGAGTCTGGGGGTGCTGGAGATAAGGGGTAGGGAGGACAGATAATGCTGGGTATGAAAGAGGTGGCTGAGAACATTTAGATGCAATGATGAGTGTAATTCTGTAGCAAACATGAACTGTATTTGGCCACAGTGCACAAAATCTGGATGTTTTTGTGCCACCTTAGAATGAAATGAATTCAAATTGCAGCTGCCTCAAGCCTGGGTCTGAAAGCAGTGGGCTCTATGGGATGCAACTGTGATTAAAGTCACTGAAATTGTAACACATAGACAGGCAGGATGGTATGTGAAACCAAAAATTTATCTCTTCCTTTATCTGTTATCCACAGTGGTCAACTCAGAGCTTCTGAGAAGGATAAAACTATGTACTAATCCGTGGTACATTCCTCTGGCAGAAGTTAGCAGGGGCTCAGGATTTCCTGAGGCAGAAATGGAGCTTTGGAGCAATTATTAATTGCTCATAATGGATTTTTCCCTATGAATTGCACTTTAGCACTTTACTAAACCAGAAATGTTTACTCTTATCTGTATGATTTCTGTCATTTGTATTCCCTACCCGTCCTTTGTATGTAGAATGCAGTTCTGGGATTAATCCTACAGGTATGTGGCCAGTGTGACTATTTCCTGTAAGTTAACAACAAAATAGAAAATGGCCTTATGCAGCTTGCAAAGTTCTGATCCACCCATGTCTTGAAGGAGCACAAAGTGCTGGTCATCCTCTCCCAAAAAGGACATGATAGAAAAAGAGAAGATACAGAGGAGGGCAACGAGGATGTGCAGAGTTCTAAAATTACTTTCTGAGAGGATTAAATAAAACAGGCCAGTTCAGTTTGGAAGAGAGACAAGTAATACAGGTGTGTGTAAAGTCATAAATGGCATGGGAAAAATGAACTGGAAATGACTATTCCCTGTTACAACGTAGGAGTAAAGGGCAGTGAAGGGAATTTTAAGGCAGCTACTTTAGACCAGAACAAAAAGAAGTGCTTTTTCACACAGGGCATAATTCAGTTGTGGAACTTATTGCTGACAGATATGGATTCAAGAAGCAATTAGACAAATTCATGGAAAATAGGTCCAGCAGGGGCTGTTAAACACACTGATGCAGATGCAACCTCTGGCTCAGGAAATCCCTTCATGGCAGATTGCCAGGAGCTGGAAGGTGGAAGAAGCAGCACTCCAGGCCTGATGTGCTTCTCTGTTCTTTCTCTGAGTGACCACTTTGGGTTGCTGCTTAGTGTGGGTTTCAGGCCTCAAGGGAAGATTGTGCCCCTTAGGCTTTTCCTTATCCTTTCTTGGGCATTGCTTGTACTCCACGTGTTACATCATTTAATTCCCTTTCTTTATTGGGCTGTGTTATGTTTTGGGGATTTGATGTTTGACAATGGTGGAATTGTACAGTGTGAAACATGAAGTATCAGCCTGCTTTCATGACAGTACAGTGATGCATAAGCCACCGTAATTAACCCTGTGGCAAAACACGTGGGTTCCACATCCCCGTCCCTGCCCACATGGATGAAATGGGAAAGATTAGCATTTCAGTGCTTACAGGAAGCTCTGCGATTGAGGGTCTGGCAGAAAAACAGAGAGAATGAGTTCCAAAGTACCTACCATTAGACCTCCATCCTTTTAAACCACCAGAGGTTACCAGTCACTGGTGGGACTGTCCAGACTGCCTAGCACCATTATAAAGAAAGGTGATGCATTTCTAGACTGGACTTTCCTGTCATAATTTCCAGTTTGGATTGCATTAATTCATCTGTAGAGGCTGAGTTAAGGCAGAGAGATTGTTTGGCTGGAATCATGCCCCTGAAATGGAGAGCAGCAGAGAAGTGGCCCCTGCCACAGCTGTGTGATAGGAATGGGCAACACCAGGTACAGTCATGGAGACACAAAGCCAGCTCCTGCCTCGCTGCTAATTTCTTGCACAGCATCAAGAAAATCTTCTGTCCTTCAAAGAAACTGGTTCCCAAGGGTGAATATACCTCTGTATATTCAGGTGTAGAAAGACCACAGCTTCATCCCTTTGTCTGCCTTTTCATTTCTCTTGGGTTTGGGCTTCACAGAGCTCCACAAACCCACCAACTATAGATCAATGTACCTGATACTCTTATTAATGCTGTATTCAGGTTCCCATTCTATGCTGAATGATACCCCACTGGTTCTGGGGGAAAATCTTTGTCTTTTTCCTTCTGTGACTAAGAAATGGCTCATGGTGCATTGAGCTCATAGATTCTCTTTGATTGCAAGTCTAACCTTTCAGCATGAGGCTGCTGGTGCAAGTGAAATCAAAAAGCCTTTGTGAAAGTGTCTTAACAAGCCATGGTGTGATCCTGTAAGCTCTCACCTGGCTCCCAGGCAGCCCAAGCTTGACCAGGTTCTTATATATTCCAGAAGGCTGCTAAAAGGTGGTTTCAGGCGTATTGTGCTTTCTGATTACTTGCCCCAAAATAATTAAAACCTTGGTTTTGCACTCCCAGAGTGTTTTTTCCTAACACTGCCTAGATGAATCACATGCTGTTTTTCTTAACCCAAAGGGGAGAGATTTGGAGTCACACTGTGATAACTCCTGAGTACAATAAACAGGAAAAAATAAAGGCAACCCCTTTTCTCATCACAGCCTCCTGAAGGGAAAACCACAAGTGCTCGACTGACTTTGCAGAATGAAAACAGTTGATACTCAGAGCCTGCTCTAAGTGTGGGAGAATAAGAAAAACTATATTCAGGTTAAATAAAAGTGAGATATCTGCCATATACATGAGCCTGTTCCTCAGGGAGGAACTCACCACTTTACACTGTAATACCTGTATGCACTGGCCTGCCTTCATCCTGAGTGCTTGCAGCTTTTGCATTTTTGTCATCTAAAAGCTGCTGCTCTGTCTACATAGTACTAAGGAAGAATGGAAAGCTCTTCTGTGACTTTAAAAGTGCCTAAATCAATCAATAAATATTGGTTTTAATGAGTGTTAGGTGCCCCACAAGCCGTATTGATGTGAACTTGGGAGAAAAAGAAAAGCCTTGAGAGATGCAGGTTCTGTTCCCCCAGGAGGTGTTCAAGTGTACTTACTTTCCTGGACTTTTGGCTTTTATAGTGAAAATAAGCCCCTAAATTCCTTTGAAGAGCTGAGCTTCTATTAATTTAATCAGAAGAGATGGTGGTGCCTGTATGAGACTGCTGCTAGGGCTACATTAATAACTTATCATTTTTTTCAGCTAATCTTCCTGTTTAGCAGGGTTTAGAGTAGTGATAGTGGGGGTCAGTGACTTTCCAGAGATCCCACAGTGGGACTGTTGTAGGACTGTAGTAAGAACCCAGGCCCATCATTTCTGAGGTCTGAGCACCACATGCTGTTTCTTTTCAGGCTGGCTGTTGATTTAAAATACAATAATTACCAATAACTAGGCAATGCTAATGAGGCATCTTGCAGGAGGGTGAGCTGTGTAAAAGCAATCCATAATGAGTCCTGCCCGGTTCAAACAAATCTACCTGCTCTTTTGTGTACAGAGGAGAGGATTTTCTATCCATGGGTGAACTCTTCCAAAGGGAGATACTGAGAAAAGGGAAGGACAGTTGGGCTGTCAGATGCTGCAGTGTAGGGGGGAAAAGTAGCAGATATGTGCAGTGTATGTTCATGAGCAAGGGTACCTCTTAGGTTAATTATTAAGGCCAAAAATACATTGTCTTTGCTGTCTTGGAAGAAGTGGTGGGGGAAGGAGATGAGCTTGGCTCTCGTGGGCACTGTGAAGAGAGCAGGCTTGGGTGCCATGGTGAGATGGGGCACTCAGAGAGGGCCACCAGCAAAGAAT